TTTTTCTAGAGAATTTTGCGACGGTTGGCGACATTTATGTGTGGAATAATTTTAGGCGGTTGTAAAAAATAAAAATTATTCTTATTTTCACATTTGAAAATGAATTGTGAAGAAAGTCCGTCACTAAAATTAAATTACCGCGAATGGCTTATTCTAACACCGAAATAGAAAATAAGTCTATTCGAGCACCCCAATGACGTCACTTTAAATTAAAATATCTTTATTCAAAATCACTAATTTAATATGCCGATTACCCTTTAAAGGTTGGGAAACACGTCATTATATCTTATGAGGAGTAGTAACATTACTTCTCTTGGGCGGTAATAAACAGGATTGCCAACCTTAAGATTACACAACTACCGGGAATTTTTTCTTTGAAATTGTCAAATTACGCATAATATTTTGCTAAATTAGTATTCAATTGTTTCTGTAGGAGTTTTTCTTACTTCTGGGGGAGCGCACTACTCCATTTCAACAATTTTATTCACAATCAGATTGGGAATCAAAGATTGGGAAACAGGTCATTATATCTCATGAAGCGTAATAATATTACTCCTCTTACGCATAATATTTTGCTAAATTAATATTCAATAGCTTCTGTATCGTTTCTCTCACTTCTAGGGGTTCTGTTCCATTTCAACAATTTTAATATCAGATTCATATATTATTTCAATATTTGTTTTGACAATTTTAAAATGTCAAAAATCAAACGGAATTTAGATGGCCTACCACGTTTGAATCTTAACTTTGTTAGAATTTTATTTCATTCAAATTTTTGACTAAAAATAATGTGATTGTGAATAAAATAGCATACAAACCACCTCAGTGGTAATGGCATACCTCTTATGCTTTATACAAAAGCACTCTGGATAATGCCATATTTACCACCTCGTTTGTAATGTACTATTATAACGGTCTATTTTAATGGTATAATAGGTTATGCGTTTTTTAATTGAAATTGAATAATATATCGATTTAAGCAATAAAAAAATTGGTATTAAGAAGCCAAAAAACCGAAAAAGACAGAAAATGTGACCTGCAACTATTGTAACCGGAAATTGAGTAGATGTATCCAGTGTTCGTGATTACTGGTTTAAAAGGTATGTTTTCACAAGTAACTACTACAAATTTTATAATGTTTGGTCAAATGATTGACTACATTCCGAAGGTTGTAAAATTCTTATCAGTAGAGATAGGGCACGAGTTATTATTTAAATTAACATCATTTTAAAGGTCATTTTTGAGGTTCAAATAATGCTTCATATTTTTGAATAACCCTACATGATAATTGTTGTTATTTGACAGAGTATCACATTTTAAAACATTATTGTATTTAGTCAAGTTAACAATTACCTATCACTGAATAAAATGCGAATAAATAACAATTTGTAATGTAAAAAGAAAAAAAGAAATTGAAATTAAATAATAAATTAAAAGTGATAAGAACAACTTACCCTAATTTCTTTCTTTTCTGAATGTAGGAGCAAAAAGAAGAACTAATTTACATCACTTTAAGATCCTTCACTTGTGAAACTATTTCGTCTTTGGTCAATCCAGTTTACCGAAATGTGCTATCAATTTGGCCCAACATTTATAACACGATTTATTTATTTTGAATTAATTTTAATTTTAATTGGTGCTGGTACATTAAACAGTTAATCAGACAAACACAAAACTTATAAGATAATCTGATAAACTTTTTATGCAGCAAGTTTTGTGTGTTTGGTTTCTGTCTTCACCATCATCGATAGGTGTAGCTTTCCTGCAAAAAAAAATGAATTTTAGTAAATTGTCTTTGTAGGTATAAAATGTTTTACAAATTAAAATGTTTAGGAATTCCCAACTTGGTATTCAGGTAGTAGGAATATCTTTTGCAAACTATAACATAATTTATTATAGTTAGTATGAATAAGTACCATTAGAAAGTTTATTGTAAGTAAAGAAAAAATTTTTATTCTTCGACACTGTCAAAATTTACAGTTTTTCTCCCGTGTAAGGAAGTTTTGACAACTGTTTGGCATTTCTCAATACGAAACGTGAAATTATTTTTAACAGATTTAAAGCAAGTTTAAGCCTTATTGAGATTAATTCGAAGAATAAAATGTTGTATTCAACTCGTTTGAGTGTAAATCGGACGCTTTATTCCACCTCGTGGATGAGAAACCACTCGTTACACTCGTGGTTTAATAACCCACTCGGTGAGATAATATTGTTCCTACAACCATAAATAATTTTTTTCTTACGAACATATTTTTTTTTCATAACGATTTATTTTTTATAATGGATACAAAAATACGTTGAATAACGATTTATTTTTTATAATGGATAAAAAAAAATACGTTAAATGTAAAAATACAAAACATTCGAGTGTGAATTGTGAAAACAAATTGCACTGGTTTTCGACCTCGTACGATATTGCCAATTTTCGCGCATATGTAATTGTGCGTTATGATCTAGTTTCGTATATGGTCGTAGGAAAAGTGTCTAACGCACTCGGGCTTCAGCATTTATTAGAATTTATTAGGAATGCAGTGGCTGGGTTTTCAAAATCGCTTGATTTATTCTTTGGAAGTGCAAGGAAAGCATTTTGAACACTTGCTTTAATTATTAAATATTTTTCATGTTTTGATGGGTTCTAATTTTTTTTAAATTAATATTTAATTACATTTACTTTGTTATTTTTAAAAGTTTGTCTTTTATTTAACGATATTAAAGCCTTTGTAATATTGGTTGCCTATGCCTATACTAACTAAATCCTAACAGACTTAGTTACATTGAAGTTGACCCGTTTTTTTTAAAAGTATACATAGGGCTATGTATACTAATGAAAAAATGTCCCTGTATAAGCTACGTATATACATAGGCAGGCACTTAATACAATTAAAAATGTCTATTTGTGTCTCTTATATGCATGTCGTAGGCTAATTACAAATTCAGTCGTTTTATAAAACCCCTAGTCACTTTGTAAACGACTGGGCAAATTGTAAATGAATGAATAAATGCAGAGTTTTTACAATGCGACGGAAAATTTTAGGCATATTTTATAATGTCGAGTAAGTATTAGTCTAATTATAAAATACCTATGATTAATTTATAATACGATTGAAACGAATCTGCGTTATTTCGGCCTTTTATAATACGCCTATTGGCAAGTCAGTATTACTGAAATTGTTGGTTCGAACATTCAATTTATGTTATAAAGATTTTCACAGAAAAGTTTTAGCCAAGTTTTCTAAATTTGGGGAATAAGGATTTAAAACATGTTGTTGCAAACCAAGCAAGTTGCAGTGCTGTAGAAAGAAATTATATACAGGGTGAATATAAAGTATGGAATCAAGCGGTTTTATTTTTAATCATTTGCCTCCAGAAAATAATAATTAATATAAATTGAAGTAATATAAAAAAATGTGATCGTATTTTCACAACGAAATTTTGTTTTGTTTTTGAGTTATGCGATTTTTTTTTGTCAAAATTGCAATTTATGTGAAAAATTTTTTTTGAAAAAATTAAATATAAAGCAGATAGTTGTAATCCTTAGAGTATAGCTTTTATGAGAAAAATAATTTTATAGTGGGTTGCCATTTAAAAAAATATTTTTTTTTGTAGAACTCATAAACAAAAGGAAATATCGAAAAATGTTATTCTTGTTAAATCATCACATTTTTATAGTACTTTATCACTCATCAATTAGTTTTTTCAAAAAATAAATAGTTTAAGCAAAAAACGTTTGGTTCCATACTTTTTATTCACCTGGTACATTAAATTAGTTATTTCCTTATTCCTTAACTTTAAACGTTTTATTTGTTGCTTACTTGTAAACATCAATTTATCAAGTCACTATATTCATCTTGAAAATGTCTTAAAACTGGCTAACCAGTAAAGTGACATATTTTATTGGTTAGCCAGTTATACGTGTAAAGGTCATACGATTTTTTCAACTATCAGAATTATTTTTTCCAAACGTTAGAATTTCTAGAATTTTTAATGTTGATAATGGTGACATCACCCTTCCATCGCCAGTAAAAACCCTTTTACCATTCTCGTAACGTTAAATACTATAACATTTAACCTTGTTTTTTTTTCCAATATTTCTTCTTATAATTTTTAACAGGCTTCGTAATTACAATAGGAACTGGTATTTTATATTAAATTTGACTAGAACTAGAGCCCCCAGTCTCCGACAATTGAAGGGTAGTTCCGGTCGGGTAAATCCATACCCTTCTTACTGAGTTAGAATAATGAAGTTTTAATTACAGATTTGCTCGTTTTAGGTAAAGCAAAAAATGTTTCTCCTTTGCAGTTTTGGCCTAAAATCAAAGATAATTTTTTTTTCCTCTTGTAAACTCAAATTGTAACTCTGTTTAATGTTATTTGTGGCTTTAATTGGCAAAAATATTTTGTATCTTAACTAAATAATTATAAAAACCATATACAAGATCATCAGTAGGCATTAAATAGACATAAAAAAATGTCAAATGTTTTACTTGAATTTTTTCTCTGGAGTGAGAGTTCTGAAACAGCCTGTATAACTCGAGGGTGGCGCAACAAATTTATATTTTTTCTTATAGAACATCCGGTATATTATACCCTTATTTGAAAGAGCTTTTAATTCTAAGAAAATCAATATGAGGTTTTATGGATCTATCAAGGACCGTTTATCATTTATGGGCAATTTTATAAAAAAAAGTGCCATTTTTGGAAAAACGCAGAGGCTTTAACTTGATTTTTTCAAATGGAACACCTTGTATCTTATTACTTTATCGTGTAGAGCTTTGAAAAAGCTTTCTAAAAAATATAGATATAGATTTTTATTGTTCAAATAATAACTATTAAACATTAAGCTTTAACGAGATTTTACGAGAAACCGATTTATAATTTTGACTTAATAATTATAGCGTTTTCGAAAAAACTGATACATAAACAAAATGTTGCATTTGACGAATTCTGCACGTGGTTAAAATTATTGCACTTATTTCAGAATCACGTTATTTTTAAAATACACTTATCTTGGCATTTTGTCTGATTTGATATTATTTTGACATATGTAGTTTTTTATAATAATTTTGAATTTAGTAAAATTGTGTTGGTAGGTATAGTATATTATATCACAAGTTAGAGAAGAGATTTTTTGTAGCCGAGCTGTTTAGTTCCCGAGATGCGTAGCATCGAGGGAAATTATAAATGCTGTTTTATATAACATTTTTTTCACTACACATTTATTACCCAGAAATACAACGTTGAAAAATATAACCCTACTTAATGGACATGTTGACTCAGACGTAACATGTAATTCACAACTACAATTTGTGTTAATTCATTATTACCTACAGTAATTATCACTTATCTGAGTAATTAATTTAATTTGGAAGTATTTTTACTTATTTAAATTCCATCACAGTTTTGACCCATTAATTGGTTTAGATAATCTAATACCACTTTAAGCAAATTGAGATTTATACCAGGAAGTTGTACACCACTATTAAATTATGTTACCACAAAATTAAATATGACTTAAATTTTACAGCTGTCGCACTAAGGTCACAACAAGTAATCAAAATTAAAACTTCAATTCGAAAAAGTGAAATACTAAAATCCAATCAGACAATACACAAGACAAACCTATTGCGTTGTATTGAATTGATTTAGAATGAATATAAACTTCATTTTAGAATTCAGACTGTTATAATTTGCAATATAACCAACCACATTAAATAAACAAAACAACATAGTGTAGCACAGTATTTCAATAATATTAATGTAGAGTAAGTTTGTGTTTACCAATAGTTTTTTTGAGGACCTTGAATGGTAAGTATTTCACATCTAATTCTAATATTGCCTCAATTGCAACTGGTGTGACGCTCACTATAATGCACTACTTATATAAACCAAAGAACACGCGAATTGAGCTCTACAACTAATCAGCAACACCAACTACGTATAACTGGCAAGTGTGGGGCGGCTCCTCCGGTATTGATCAGCCAACATGAAGCTCCCCATACCCCCCAGAGATCAAGCATCCTGGAATCCTGGCAGGGCATTGCACTTAGGGAAGAAGAATAATGCCGGTTTTATAATGCAAGAAATCGACACAGGTATATTTTTAAAGAATATTGAATATTAAAAAAATGGCTTAATATAGGGTGTTCCGTTTTTATTGTTACAAATTTGAACAGGTAAAAGAATATTCAATTTTAAGACAAAAGTTTCCTATAACCATGTATCAAAAAATGTTTTGTAAACGAGCTACACCCTCTGACAGGCGTACGTTTTTAATGGGGTTGTATCGAAAAAACGTAAAAGAAGTCTTTTTGTGAAAAACTATGGAATTTAAAATTTTGTTGCTGAAAATGGCAAGAAACTTCAGCACAAATAGTAATAGTTATAGTTCTTTTAATCCTAAAAAAGGCAAAACTAATTTCGTTTTCGATCCCTAATTTGGGTATTTTAGCAAAATTTTGTGAAAAAATCAGTTTTGGCTCTAAAACGTTTTTATTCGCTTGAAAATAAATGGAATTAATACAATTAATTAATTTTTGGGCATTTTGGGCATCAAAAACAATTGAGATTTTTACTCAAGAATAAGCAAAAAACACCATTTTGTACCTAATTAGAAGATTTCTCGACTTGCTTGAGCAAAATGTCGCAAAGGAAAAGTGCATTTTTTTAACTGAAAGTCAAAAAGATAGTAGATTATGTTATTAGAAGTAAAAGTGATTGTCCAAAATAGTCCAAAATGTCGAATGCTGATAATCTACCTTGTACCTCTCCAGAAAATGCTGAAAATTCACACAAAATATGTGTTGGTACACAATCGATTTAAAAATTTTAGAAAAGTTTGAAAGAATTGCAAGGAGCCTATATTTAATATTATATGTTGCTGTTATCTTATCTTACTTCGAATTTTCCGCTAGGACGCGAGTTCTGAAACACCATGTAGATTTTATATGTACTTGCGAAGTTTTAAAATGGTTTTGAATATTTGATAAGCTTGGGAACTCATCAGCCAATTGTCATCTATTTTTTATTTAATTTTTAAATATTCGTTAAGCTTATTATACAGGGTGTTCCATTTTTATTGTAACAAATTTAAACAGGTGATAGAATATTGAATTTTAAGATAAAAGTCTTCTATGAACATGTATTGAAAAATACTATGTAAGGGAGCTACACTCTCTGAAAGGGGTGCATGATTTAATGGATTTTGTCCAATATTTCAGAAACCATTTTATTAGATAAAATTACAAAATTTGGTACAGTTGATTACCTTTATGTCGAAATTTTTAATCAGGGGCGTCCTAAATGGGGGGGTTTGGGATAAAAAATAATATAACTATTTTGGCTGAAGTTTCTGGTTACTTTCAAAAACACAAATTCTAAATTTTATAGTTTTTTACAAAAAAGAGCTCTCTTGCGTTTTTTCGGTACAACTAACCCTTGTTGAGTAAAATCTTTTTAATATTCATGTTACACTTGTTTTGTTGTGTTTTTTACCGAAAAAACAATGGTCAAACTTGGTCGGAAATTAAACTATTTTTGCTTTTTTGAACGTTTTAGCATGTTTTTAAGGTAAATACTCAAATTTTGAATAAGACTTCATCGAGACAAGATAAAAAATCAGATATTAAATCGAAAATTATGTTATTTTTTACTTTCTCAAGTGTTTAAAAAGTTCTTCAGCCTGAAATGAAATTATTTTGCAAAATTTTGTCCAAACCAGTCGAAAAGTCGATAAAAATTGTGCTATCTTTGCTTTTTTAAGCTAATAAACTGTGTCTTTTTCATTAAACCACACCAAAACTTAACCAAATTAAATCGGAAATGATAATATTTTTGACATTTTCGAGAGTAAAAGAAGGTTTTTCAGCTAAAGACTTTTTTTCGCAAAATTTTGCTAAAATAGGCCACAAAATCACTAAACTAGATTCAAATTACCCTTCTATTTTAGTTTGTTTTACTGGATTTATTTTGGTGACCTAATTACTTACTTTTTCTTGAAAAAAAATTGAGGGATGCCTTTCTTTGCAAAAGAACTCGTTATGCTCATGAATCAATCTGTTTTCACTCGCTAGAAAACTATCACTTTTCTTTACTTGTTAAATGATGCGTGTTAGCGCAGTTTTGATTAAATAATATAACACGTGTATTTTACGAACTATTTATTTGGAACTACAACTATTTTGATTTAATGTTTGTATGTATTGTTGCTTTCGGTCGCAAGACTAGTACTGTGTTCTTGGTCGCTGGTCTCATCCGGGGTTGGTATTGGAGGGTGGTGGGGTGCTGGTGTTGTATGTATACTTGTATACTTCTGACCACAGATTGGCAAAATTTTGCGGAATGGAAACGGATGGCCTGCGGGCACATCCTCTATCCCTTACCTGATTCATGGTTTTGATATCCAAAGTCACCATTTCACAAAATAATTAATTTATTGTTTTATTTACTAATAAATTTATTAATTAATGTAGAAGTTAAGGGTTGTTTACTATTTATCAACAGTAAAGGATTTTATGTGATTTTGGTGAAATTTTTCACAGAAATCGAGTTCAGCCGTGTCCGCAGTGTTTTATCCGTGTTTTAATTCAGAAGTAACGTAATCCAAATTACATTGTTATTTACATTACATTATTGTCAAATGTGAAATTAATTACAAATTAAAGGTGCGGTTATTATCATATCATATAAGATATCGTAAATTTCAAACTTACCTTGGACCACTGAATGGCAAATTTTTTTCTGAATGGAAACGGATGGCAGGCACATTATCAACGTTTTTTTAAGAAAAATTTGACCAAATTCATATGAAATAGTACAACCTACTATAACTACCTCAATCGGAATGAATTGTCTGCTACTAAAATAAAGACTTTTGTTTTCACAAAAATTGCAGTCATTAATGAAAACGATAATATTCATTGTAATAAAAAAAATAGTTTGCTGGACCTGTAGAAATGAGGTTGCCGCCCCTTATCGAACAACTACAATAAAAATTAAATTTTTATATATACATTTTTTGTATTTATTATAAAAGACACTTTTAATAGTTCAGATTGCCGCCACAAAATTTTGCCGCCCGGGTCTCGTGCACCAGTGGGTTCCACGGAACACGGGCCCGGGCTTCAAAAAGGCCCTTTACGTTGTTAAATTATAAATTACAAATTTAAGAAAAATCAAAATTATTTTTGTTATATTAGCTGTTAAAATTAGGTTCTGATGACTAAAAAATTGTTATGTATATGTATCAACAGTAATTTTATTTGTCACAACAGACATTAAATTAAGCAAAAAGTCAAAATACATTCGAACCATGAGAAAACAGATCTGATTCCCATTTATGGTGAATTTCGGAAATATGCTTCTGCCGTTGAGTCTTTGTAAAGACAATGTTTCCTAAATAGAAAAGTTTCAAAAAGGCTTGAATCACTAAAGTGTTTTCCAACGATGGAAAGACAAATAACCTTAAAAATTGTGTTTCCTGTCTTGTCAATTTCTTTGCGTCACGTGATAACTAGGTTTTATTAATTTTAAAATTCATAATCAAAATCCATGAAGGCTATGCAAATGTATTGCTGGCTGCAGTTCAAATTTGGCCAGACTCATTATCACTCGTGAAATACCCTGTATTTCCACATTATTTCCATGTGTTCTAAAGTAGATATGCAACTAACATTTCGCGCATCTAGCGAGACTACGTGAGTTTAAATTATGAAAATTTTCCACTCCTAGGAATCAGCTACTCACTTTTGTCCTAACAATAAAAGAAAAATGTGTATGTACTAAAAAAACAGGTGATTCCCATATCAAAATGCAAATTGTAGATGCAGATAAATGCGCATCACGTGCGCATGCTTTCTTACTGTGGTCTGTTGTGACTGTGAAGTAGCTTGAGGTTAGGGCAAAAAGTTGTATTGTTTAAACTGTGGTTTCAGTTATAACAATAATTTTTAGTTTACTTTAATGTTAACTTTTTCATAATTCATTTGTTTTAACTACAAGTAAATCGTTTTGTTTACTGTGTTACAGTTGGAGACAAAATACTTTGGTCGTCACATTTCTGACACTTTAATGTAATTCAAGCTTTAACGTTAAAATGAATGACAATTTCAAATTAATTACAGCTGTTGGATTTTCCTATCAAAAATATGTACATACAATTTGTCAACTATGATTGACAGTAGCTAAGAATAGGGTTATCGGTCCTAAAGCATGCTTTACAATTTAATGTCACTCAAGTGACATTGACGATCAAAGTAATTTGTCTCCGACTGTACTTGGAGTTTATTGAAATTTTGTATTTTAGTTTTCTAAAATGTGGGTGCCAGAGACATGGGAAACTGAGGAAGACATCCAAAACGATATTGTTTTGATGGCAGAATACTGTGTGCCTGTAAAAAATAAGAAAACTTTGCCTGCTAGAAAAATTCCAGATACGATTTTGCAATACAAGAAACAGATGGAAGAAAATAAACGAAAACCTTTGAATAGTGATATTGACGACACTGTTTCTTATGTTGTAAGCGGCAGAGGAAGAGGAATTAAAGATAGAGTTATTCGCCCAGGTGAAATCGTTGATAGCCATCCCTTAGATGAAGCTGAACTAAAAAAACAAATTAGACAGGTAAAAGTTGTTTATACTGTTTAAAACAGAATTTAAGATTCCATTTTAGGTATGTGGATTTGGCTATTCAAATGAATTGATTGAAAAGTCTATTAAAGCCAAAGTTTATGATCCCAAAAACGAGGGTGAAAGTGATTCTAATTTTAAGTTAGTTCCTTCATTATCTTCCAGTGGCCGATCTTCAAATGAAAATACTCCAATAAAAAAAACCAAACCTGCTAAAAGTAATTTTTCAGAACAATGAATGTGCTTTATTATATTATTCTGTTTTGTTTTTCGAATTATAGGGTACCTAGGTCTAGGTTAATAATTGTGCACTTACTGGGTTAAGATTTATCTATACTACTTTTCAAAACATTGTAATAAAAGCACTATGTAATTTATTTGGAACATGTCGGTGGCTAAGCGCACCTTTAGTTTATGTTCAATATTTACGATTTCGAGTAATACATTTCGAAACTTGTGTAGCTGTTTTATTAATGTGTGCATTCCAATAATATTGAAGACTTTTTGAGTGCATTGTACATATATTTTAGTAATTTACTAAACATTAATGATCATTTAATTAAACAATTTCATGTTAAGCTCATTTATGTCGTAAATGGACATACTATAATTGTGCCCTTACTCATTAATACTGTTTTTATTTAACTTTTCTCCTTGGCCATTAATTTGCCAGTAACATCCACTTTAAAACGGAACTTTTTATTGAAATTTATTTGACCTTAAAAAATTCAGTTATAATCTCAGGTACGTAGCTAGAAACAATTTTTAGGTAGGGCCTAAAATTTTTAGTGGGGCTAGAACAGTTCTCTAGTTTTGTATAGTACACGTTTGTTTTTTTTTTTACTATAACTAATGTAAAACTGAAGGGTTCCAAATTTTAATATAAAAAACAAAAGAAGCACATTTAATCACATTTAATAGTTATGTAAAACTAATGCTATAGACGCCACTTCAGACATGAGTTTTATTAGACACGAGCGAAGCGCCGCGGAGCGAGTGTGTAATAAAACGAATGTCTAGAGAAGTTTATACTCGTATTACATACTATACTTTTTCTACGACCACAAAAAAAATACTTACATTTGGAATTTGTGACAACTGACAGAAAGTTAACTTCACCCCGTGACTAACATGACAGTTGCTATTAGCAGCGTAACTAAATACTCATATTAGTCATGGCTTGTTAAGATGTACAGGCTGTACAATTAAAACAAATTCAAATAAACGTGTATATTTAGATACCTACTTAATTTTTATTTATACTTATAAATTATGGGATTTCATTAATTTTAAATATTCGTCTAAACTATCAAATGAACTGCAATAATTAGTAAACTTGGCAACGCTAAAAACGCAAACGGCTTTTAGTTATCTTGTTCTTTTTTTGTCTTTACACAACTACAGAAAATACATTTTTGATTTCCGCGTTACTATGTGCTAAACTCATAAACAAATGCTCTAACTTGGCGAAGTTACAATATTCATATTAAAATTTTTTGTAATTTTTGAAACTGTGCCAGAAGTGTGAAAAAAATTGAGATTTTTACTGAAAATGTAAAAAATCCCTAGATAATTAAGAAAAATTGAAAAAAATCCCTTTTTCCCTTTTTGTTAGAAAAATCCCTAGAACTAGGAAAAAATTCCCTAATCTGGCATCACTGCGGCAATCCCGATCCTACTGGGCCTGCCAAAGTCAAGCATGCGCTAAACTAAGTAAACTAACAACTTAACACCCTTAACACTCGGCCATCCTGACATGACTGATGACCTCATCAGTGAAACATAAGAATGTGTGAACTCTAAAATAACAATACATTTTCGTTGAAGATGCGACAGTGGTAGCGCTGTCAAGCGTGCTTAGTCGCTTAAGACTCTCGAGGCCACATCACATATCGAGCTACACTGCACTGATGAGCCCCAACAAGGGCGAAACCGGTCTGCAGTTTGCTCGATATGTGATGTGCCTCTTTTTCACATCAAATACATTTTCAACAAACGAAAAAAAGCAATTTTAGGGAAAATTCCTAAAAAAATACTACTTAAAACATTATCCAAAACAAGAATCTAAAAAAAAAACAAGGATAAGTGATTCGCAGCAACAAATATAGTTCCATCATGTTCCACGAATAATAAACTAAACTAAATACTAATGGAAACAAAACAAATTTTCAAAAACAGAATGCAATACAATGTTTTAAAAATCAATCACGTAATCATCTAAATGTTTTGGCGCTTGCCTTTTCCGCTTTTTTCGAGGCACTACACTTACGTGATTGGTACTTTGGGCGTCACTATCACTTGCACTGTCATTCTCTTCTGGTGAAGACATCAAGTTGTTGACCCGGTCTTCGTTGTGTTCGTCACTCGATTCCTGCTGATCGTCCATTTCATCTTCGTTATCCTCTTCATCGTCATTGTCCTCTTCGTGATTTTTGTAAATTTTCAACTAGGAAACATGGGCAGTTGTATTGAGGTTTTTCCCTCCAGCATCTCGATTTAGATTAGTTACTCTGTAGGTGTCACTTGGTAATATTTCTGTAACTGTTAAAGGTTCCATATATTTCGGTTGAAGTTTCGTACTTTCTCCCGTTGTTGTTGGGTTTCTTTTCATGGCCACAATGTCACCAACATTAAATTGCTTTCCTTTGTATTTTTTTCTATCAAATCGAGTTTTCATGTTGCTTTTTTGTTTTAGAATATTTCTTCGAATTTCTTCTTGAATTTGAGGTGGTGGTATCCATTCTTCATCTTCTCCTGATATTTCTCTAAGTTTTCCATCGTAAAATCGCGGCAAAAATCCGTACAAATTCTCGAATGGTGTTTTCCCGGTTGTTTCATTAAGTGTCGTGTTTAGGTCTCTTTAAGCTTCTTGTAAATGAAGATCCCAATCGGTTTCGTTGCGCATACAAGGTATAATTACTGGTATAACAGTACGCTTTACTCTAGGGGGTTCAAATCAGAGGCGTCCTAAACGCTAAAACAAATTTAATTTTTAATTTTTATGCTGTTTATGGTCTGTAACATAAATTTTAATAAATAAAAAATCCGTAAATTGTATCGGAAAAACACAAAAGACCTTTTTTTATGAAATTTTGTTGCTTAAAATGGCAAGAAACCACAGGCAAAATAGTTAGAGTAAATTTTTACCCTAATCCCATCTAGTTTAGGAAGCACCTAATTAAAAATTTCAACATTTTATTTTTGTACTTGTTTAGGTGTATAAAAGTTATCATCTGTAGCAAATTTTGAAATTTTTTTCTAAAATGATTTCGGAAATATTGAAAAAAACCTATTAAAAGACGCACCCCTTGCGTAGCATTTTCGATATATGTTCATAGAAAATTTTTGTTTTAAAAATGAATATTCATCTCCTGTTTAAATTTGTAACAATAAAAAGTATTACAAATTTATTTTATTTTTGTTACTTTTGTGAGTTAAGTTGTATTTTTTATGTTTAATTAGGATCTCTTATTTCAATTTAAAATAAAAACGTGTACTTAGAGATTTTTGCTTTTTAATCCGTCTTCTTTCATTTCATTTTCATGGACCAACAAGAAGGCATAAGTCCTTTTTCGGTGATTAGAAATCCTAAATATTCCATGCTACTTTTTGCAAATTGACACTTTGTTATTTTTACAGTTAAATTCGCAGCTCTTAACGCTTGTAAAAGTTGTTCGAGCTTGAACAACATTTCTTCCCACGATTTTGCCGGTATCAGTAAGTCGTCCAAATAACACATTGCCGTATTATTACATAATTTTCTCAACACTAAGTTCATTAAGTGCACAAATTGAAAAGGCGCATTTTTCAGTCCAAACACTAAACGTTCGAATTGTCCCGTTTCGTCCTGTGTGATGAAAGCCGTTTTTTCTTTTGCGCTTTCGCCTTAAAGGTATCTGAAAGATCTAATGTTGTAAACAACGTACATCCCGCTAGTTTGTCGAATTGTTCGTCAATTGTATGTAATGGGTAATTAATTTGCACTGTTTGTGAACTCAATGCTCTGTAATCTACAACTAAACGTTTGTCTCCGTCTTTTTTCCTACGAGTAAAACTGGACTGGCGTATGGAGATTTTGTATCCGTCACAATTCCACAATTTTTCCAATCTCGAATGATTTCTGATATAATTTCTCGATCTTCTTCATTGGTTTTGTATGGTTTTCTTCGTATTGACACTTCATTGTCCAGAATATCCGCTGTCATTAAATTGGTACATCCAAGTTTTTCTAACTTCAGCGCAAAACAATTGAGGTATGTATTCAAAATTTCTATTAATTCCACGACTTGCTCTTCTGGTACTTTTTTGTCAACATGTACCATTTTTCGAGTTATGTGTGAACGTACAGTGATGGACAGTGAATTTCGTCCACCCAATTTCTGTGAATTCACAAAAATTCACTGTAGTCTGTGCTTTATTGTCATGATAACTGACATTCAAATACGTATTGTCAAATTTAATCAAATTCGAACATACCAGCAGTAAGTGCGTTTAATAAAATAAAAATTATCTCTCTGGTACAAGAAGGTATGCCTCAAAGACGGGCGTCTACTTTTGGGCATACCCAAGGACTACCATTTCAAAGGACAAAGGTAAAAAGTAGCAAGAAGCATCGAGCATTCTGTCAACATGACAAACGTTAATCAAAATTCTAAAATAAGGTTAAAAAAACCTAAAGAATAATTTACACTTTTAATCTGTCAGGGAAATTGGGGGACGAAATTCACTGTCCATCACTGTAACTTCATTTCTTCTTCCTTTGCCTCGGGTATACATTCTTATATTTTACTTTCTTTCAGTAGTAATTCGGTATTATGTTGGTTAGAAACTGTAATCTGTCCGTCGTTATCACTCACACAAATGTCTATTTTGCACACACGATTTGATACAATTACACTGTTTTTTCACACAATTATGTTACGATCTTCACGCGAATTTGCTACGTCAGTTAATAAATTTTGAAACGGATTTTTAGTCACGTACTTAAAAATTAAACGGTCGCCTACGCGAGCGATGCAATACAATCCAATTCTGTGAAAGGATGTTCAATAATTACATCATAGTGTTGCGCCTCATTTGGAACTACCACTAATTCCATATTTTCAGCCGTTATTTCATCGATTTTGATTTTTGTAATTTCTACGCCTTTCGAGTATATCACCAAATCTGTAAATTGGTAGCCGTGTTACTATCATTACCAATTGATTAAAAATCAAGTAGGTTTGCGTTATTTTCTCTTCTAAAAAAATTGGATATTTTTTTAAATTTACGTTATCATAATAAATCAATTAAGAAGACAGGTTGTTTATTGAAATACTAAGTAAAACTCAAGAAACGCTGTTTCGCGGCGGTGACAACAATAGGGAAGACGTAAATGAAAATTCCTACCTTTGAGTACTCCCACGTAGAATCCAAAGGATGAGGCAGGAAAATAGGAAAGGAAGGGTAAGAGGTTGG